TCAATGGTATATTGGTATCGGCACTGTGAATGCGGCAGTAGTATATTGGTATCCCCACTGGGAAGGCGGCAGTAGTATATTGGTATCGCCACTGTGAATGCGGCAGTAGTATATTGGTATCGCCACTGTGAATGCGGCAATGGTATATTGGTATCGCCACTGTGAATGCGGTAGTAGTATATTGGTATCGCCACTGTGAATGCGGGAGTAGTATATTGTTATCGCCGCTGTGAATGCGGCAGTAGTATATTGATATCGCCACCGTGAATGTGTGAATGCGGCAATGGTATATTGGTATCGCCACTGTGATTGCGGCAATGGTATATTGGTATCGCCACTGTGAATGCGGCAGTAGTATATTGGTATCGCCAATGTGAATGCGGCAGTAGTATATTGGTATCGCCACTGTGAATGCGGCAATGGTATATTGGTATAGGCACTGTGAAAGCGGCAGTAGTATATTGGTATCGCCACTGTGAATGCGGCAGTAGTATATTGGTATCGGCACTGTGAATGCGGCAGTAGTATATTGATATCGCCACTGTGAATGCGGCAGTAGTATATTGGTATCGCCACTGTGATTGCAGCAACAGTATATTGGTATCGCCACTGTGAAGGCGGCAATTGTATATTGGTATCGCCACTGTGAATGCGGCAGTAGTATATTGGTATCGCCACTGTGAATGCGGCAGTAGTATATTGGTATCGCCATTGTGAATGCGGCAATGACATATTGGTATCGCCACTGTGAATGCGGCAGTAGTATATTGGTATCGCCATTGTGAATGCGGCAGTAGTATATTGGTATCGCCACTGTGAATGCGGCAGTAGTATATTGGTAACGCCACTGTGAATGCGGCAATGGTATATTGGTATCGGCACTGTGAATGCGGCAATGGTATATTGGTATCGGCACTGTGAATGCGGCAGTAGTATATTGGTATCGCCACTGTGAATGCGGCAGTAGTTTATTGGTATCGCCACTGTGAATGCGGCAGTAGTATATTGCTATCGCCACTGTGAATGCGGCAGTAGTATATTGGTATTGCCACTGTGAATACGGCAGTAGTATATTGGTTTCGCCACTGTGATTGCAGCAACAGTATATTAATATCGCCACTGTGAATGCGACAACAGTATATTGGTATCGCCACTGTGAATGTGACAACAGTATATTAGTATCGCCACTGTGAATGCGGCAATGGTATATTGGTATGGGCACTGTGAATGCGGCAGTAGTATATTGTATCGCCACTGTGTAATGCGGCAGTAGTATATTGGTATCGCCACTGTGAATGCGGCAATGGTATATTGTATCGGCACTGTGAAT